TGGGTGGGTGGAGGCATGCATGGGTGACTGGGTGGAGGGGTAGCTGGGTAGACAGATCTGTGGGTGGCTAGGTAGGTAGGTGGCTAAGCAGATTAATGGAAATGGATAGGTGGGTGCTGCTGTTGGGTAAATGTCAGTGAACAGATTGGTGGGTAGTTGGGTGGAGAGATGGATGGATGGATGGTATTACAGGTAAGTGTGAGTAAATCCACATTTTCTCTAAATAAGTAACTAAGGGTGAAGTGGAGTGGACATGCACTTAAACCTAACTTGCAACTTGAGAGCAAAATTGGTGTATTGCCATTCTGGAAGGGAATGCTGTATTTTTTGTATGTATGTAAGAGCTATGCGATGGTGGTAGAGCACATAGAACATTCCCACTTCAAACTTTATCACTGTGGCTGCTTATAGAAGAGGAGCCACATGAAAATGTCCTGAATAAGCAGTTCTCTAGTGCAAGAAGCCTCTTGTGGAATCTGGAAATTAAAGAATTCTAAATGCCCCGTTTCTTTAGGGCATGCATTACAAAAAGACGTGGGAAGTTCCACTTTCATCAAGAACACTAAAAATACCTTTGGTCACATCATTGCTCCCAGCACGTTTAACTTATGCACCAGTGAAGTTTTAAGGATTGAATGTCCCACAGTCCCGGCCTGTCCACGCACAACCATGGCAGCACCCAGGGGTGACTGCCGCGGCCGCGCCGGCCGCTTCAGCGGGAAGCCGGGGTGCGCTTGGCCTAGGGGGCCAGACCTCGAGTAGGGGCCCCTGAGACAAGACCTGCCAGTAGGACACTCAGGGCAGATTGGGTCCTGCCAGAAGCCGTCTGGGGCTGCCACGTAGCTTGCCGGCCCCGCGCACATTCTGTGGCTTTGGTAGGAGACAAGCAGGTCCCTCGCCCTGGAAGAAAGCGGCATTGTCCCTCGCTCTGCTTTGCACGGCCCGTGTTCATGTCTCACTGTTGTTTGCAGGGGAGGCAGATGTGGAGGAGAACAATGGGACCCCCTCTCAGGACACAGCGGTGACAGACTCCAAGCGCACAGCGGACCCAAAGAATGCCTGGCAGGACGCCAACCCAGCTGACCCCGGGGGCCGCCCCCACTTGATCCGCCTCTTTTCCCGAGATGCCCCGGGGAGAGAGGACAACACCTTCAAAGACAGGCCCTCGGAGTCAGACGAGCTCCAGACCATCCAAGAGGACAGTGCAGTCAGTCCTGAGGGCCTGGATGTGATGGCATCACAGAAAAGACCCTCCCAGAGGCACGGATCCAAGTACCTGGCCTCAGCAAGCGCCATGGATCATGCCAGGCATGGCTTCCTCCCGAGGCACAGAGACACGGGCATCCTTGACTCCCTCGGGCGCTTCTTTGGCGGTGACAGGGGTGTGCCCAAGCGGGGCTCAGGCAAGGTGAGCTCTGAGGAGTAACTAGGGGCACGCAGAACGTGTGTCCACTTTAGTTGACAAGGAAAAGGAAGGAAAGTCAGCAGGTGAGCTAAGCCCTAGCAGGGATCCTGGAGCAGCCCCCCTGCCGCCCTGCTGCTGTCCTTGCTGGCCATGCCGTGGCCGCGGGCGGGGGTGGCAGGGGGGCTGGGTTGCTGCTTTTGCTGCATTTCCACACAGCTCAGCCTCCTTCCTTCCTCTCCTCGCAGGGGATGCGATCAGGATGTGGCTCAGGAATGCAAGAACATTCTGAACTCTGCATCCCTGGGGCGCATGGCGTGGGCATCGTGGGCATTGTCCGGGGTCTCGTGCTCGGGTTTTGTGGCTGATTCTGCTTCTGTGTCCACGCTTTTGGGGTCGACATTGGGTTGTGCTCATTTTCCTTGGAGTCTGTGCTGCTAGCTTGACGTGGTCTTGCAACAATCGTGCGATTGAGGACTTTTGAACAAACTCGAAATTTAAATTCGCCTTGAGCAAATTGTGTCTTTTATCTGAGTTATTTAGGGGAAAGGGGTGGAGGGATCCTTGCGTGTGCTTATGAATCAGAACTGTGTTATTTTGTTATTCCATTAATTCGAATAGAGAATCTGTGAAGTTTCACTATGTAAATGTTCTGTAGATACAAATTGTATCAGGAGGGGAAAAAGCTCCCATCGTGTCAGTGCCCAGCCTCGGCTCCTGGAGTGGATGGTGACTGGGTCATCCATGGAGACGGTCCATCAGAGAGCTGAGTCCCAAGCGGCTTTGCTGTAGCAAACACATAGCATGTCCTATGCCTCTTAGCTGGGTCCTTTGGGAAGGAGAGGGTCTTTTCAAGAAAACCCGGGTTTATTGGCTGCGCTCACAAAACACACATGATGTAGCTTTTCCTCTGGCTGTGCATCCTGCTGATCCTGAAAGTCTTGGGAATGTAAAGATTCTTTTGAGTGAAGTGTGGAGCAGGGGCCCTGACTTGCAATTTTAAAGGAGTTTCTTTCGTCTCTGACTACAATTTTTTTAATTACTGAGGATTGTGAAATCGTTGAACAGTAAACGGGAAGGCAGTTTGGGCGCTGGAGGCTCAGGTGCTGCTAATATGTCTCTCGCATCTGCCCCCAGGTGCCAACATCTCTCACATGACACTTGCCGTGACTTCTGGTGACTAACACTTGCCGTGACTTCAGTGCTAACAGGGTCCACCTTCTGCTTGCTCCTTTCAGTGTCCGTCTTTGCAGACCGTTGCTTTAACTGTGGGGCAGTCTTGCGTCACCCCAAAATGGCGGTCGTCTGAACTATTTCCAATGCTGATTCCAGCCCGAGGTGCTTTTTGGGCCCTGCTATGAAACCACACCAGCCTCTGGCTGCCAGGTTGGGTCTTGCCGTTATTCTAAGCCCCCAGTAGGCAGGCAGCATCGCCAGTTTGAAAGCTTAAGCTATTCTGCTTCACTCAAGGTACAGGAAAAAATATATTTACACTGTGCAGAAAAGATTAAATCGCTGTATAGCATATATTATAAAACAAGCTCCATTTCAGTGGTAGTGGTCTCAATTAAAATTGTGAATGCATTGATATCATTGTGACTTTATTTCAGAATGGATATACACGTACGCGCGTACGTGCATCGCGTTTGTTCTCCTCTGTGTAGAATTACAACCATTGTTGCTTTAAGGCTCTTAGACTCTTTAATACTTTCAAAGAAGAGATTCATCTCGGAAGTAGGCATTAACTTTGCAAAGTAGTGTTGCCCGATTATCAAGGATCCAGAGAAATCAGAGTACTTTCACAGGATTTTTAAAAATGAAAACCATGTTTAAACAATTGCTTTAGAATTTTTGAAGTATCAGTTCTGTTCACTACTGAATGTTGAATAAAGAAGATTTAAAAAATGAACAGCCTTGCCTTTTGATGCCAGAGAAATCCGTTAAGAGTTTGCACTCGTCGGCGCGTAGCGGCTTCCCACAAACGCAGGCCTGGGACGCGTTCCTGTGCAGCGTCTGCTGAAACCAGTGTCTGTTCGGCACCCCTGTTTTACTGTGGACTCTTTGTTTGCTCTTAAACACTGGAGATGTGAGCTTAAAACCTCTCCGCCCAGGCGCACGCCCACGAGGGCCTCAGGATTCTGGGGTATTTACTGTTGCGGACACGACGGGTGATTCTGTGGCTTTGTTTCTGTCCTTGCTTTCCTCCGTGTGTCGTAAATCAGCAGAGCCCTCATCTTATAGAAAGGTCTTTGGATTGAGGTTTGAGAGAAGAGAAGCAAAAGGCCTGATTATAGTCCCCGAAAGCCCATTTCGCGTTTCCACCATTTGTCATTCCCGAGACAGTTGTCTCAGGTACACGGGATCCCAAAGAGCACCCGCAGGCCGGAGGGTCGGCTGCCCCGCCCGGGGTGTAAAGCTGGGGGGAAGCAGTTATTCTGCTTGTCTGTCTGCAGTGGTTTTTCCTGGTGGAATCCTGCAAGGCTGAAGGCATGGCCCCTGGGAAGGGGGGTGTTGGTCCGGGGACCCCTCCACAGCCCCCCACTCCCCCCGAGGCCCTGTGGCGCTCCAGGCCCTGGGTTGGCACTGCCCCCCCATCCTCAGAATGCACTGACACCACCCTCCCTTGTGTGGCTGGCTGTTGACATTCAAGGAAAGTGCATTATAAATTCCTGGAGGAGGCATGTTCTTTTGCTGAGCCCTAAAGGAAGAGCATATGCACTGAGAACATGCTCTTTTGTTGCAGGAGGAAAGAAGGGCTGTGTTGTGGCCTCCCAAAGAACAGCTTTCCCAGCTCCCTGGAGGGTGGGGCCTCGGGCAATGGGCAGGCCTTTAGGAAAACAAAGGAGAAAATGCATGTGGTCTTTGTGGAAGGCGCTCTCCAGAGCGGCCACCCCCGACCTGCTGCTCCCCTTGTCGGACCTCACCCCCTCCGCAGCGGCAGCCAAAGCCTTGAGCTGAGTGATCACTTTGGAAACTGCCCTTGTTCGTTTTCATCTGCAAGGGGGGAGGTTTTAGGAAGTAACTAAGCTGGACACAGTGATGTGCCCCCAGGGCCTTCCCCAAGTAAGAACATGCCCCTCTCAGATTTCTCCAGACCAGGGTATTTTAAAGTTTTTTAAGTTAGTCCCACACTGATGATTGTACCATTCTGTCCTGACTTCACGGCCGAGCTCCATGAGTAGTAACCTGCGCTGCTCAGCATCCCGTCGCTCAGCACTCTTGTTATTTCTGTGCCTCTAATTTTGATCGTACGGGATGAAAATCCTTTGCCGTCTACCGCTATGGGGTGTGAGCAGTCTTGTAAATTAATCACCACGCTCTGTTTCCCGGTTTTTTTCCCCACTTTAACTTCACTTAACATTTAGTTCTGCCATCACTTAATGCTTCTTCGTTAACATAATATCCCAACTCTGTAGCTATGTTCTGTGATCCTGCGGGGAGTGTAGCGTTCAGAGGCAGAGGAGGGACATGGCAGGAAGCCTGTGGAGGCCCCCCCGCCGTGCGGCCCCTGACCCCCGAGTCCGGGACCTGGGGACCTGCATGCTCCCTCTCAGCAGACAGTTCTGCTCCCAGGAGTGAAGCCCCGCACATGAAACCAAGTTGAATATCCGTGCGAGGCCGTGTGGCCGTGATCCGGCCGTCCGTCCGGTGCTTCAGTTCGCCCGGATATTTGGCCACAGCTCTTTCTAGAGAACAGACAATGTGGCAGGTGTATTTCAAACAAATACTTTTTGAGATTTCCCCCAGGAGTATCTTTATGAAGTGTTCCTACTCTGGTCAATTCTGGATCAGCGGCTTCCCCAGCTCGGCTGCGGGCAGTTTACCGTGGACCCCGTTGTCCACGAACCCTGAGTGTCCAGTGTCCCGTGGTTTCAGTGGGCGAGATCTGCATTAGGGCAGGTGGCCGTGCTCTGGGGCAGTCCTGCCACGTCTTCTGCGTGAGCCGCGTGTCTGCGCATTATGTTGATGTGTCTAATGGTGATCGCCTTCTGGTGAGTGTCACGGATGCCTGTTTGGTTTTGTGATGAACTTTTGCTTCACATATATTTCTTCCTTTGTACGCACTCGTTAAACTTTGTAACCGACCAAGGGCGTTACGCTAAGTGCACGTGAATTTTTCACGTTGTCTTCTTCGGGGTCTCCCCTCCCTCCCCCACGAAGTGCATTCACCACCGGTAATCTCGTGGGCTCCCGACGGGACAGCCAGCAGGTGAGGGTGGTGAGGGTGAGGGCCGAGCGCCCGTCCCCTCGGCACACGGGGGTCGGTTTCTCACTCTGTGCTTTTGCACAAAGACTTCGTATTCTTTTCCCCCTGCGGACAGCTCAGTGTCCTGGTCTGTCACGGCCGTTCTCGCTGCCCTGGATGTGTCAGTGTCTGTGTGAGAGCGCCGTCCCCGCTCAGGGGAGAGTGTGGGCGCGGAGTAGACTCTGCCCTCCCTCTGTGTGTGTTGGGGGGTGGACACTGCCCCCTCGGCGGCGCTTCCCGAGCGACTGGGCGCATGGGAGACCCATCCCGCCTGTGCGTCCAAGATGTCCCAGAAAGCCCGGGGAACCTGGACGTGGCGGTGTGCCGGCTCTTCCCAAGGACGCCAGTGAGCCTGGAGGTCATGGATAAGGTTGGCTCTCAGGTGAACTAGAAATAAAAGCAACACACGATTAATTTGGATGCATTCACTTGCCCAGCTTGTCCTCACTCCCATCCCGCTGCGTCCATTCACAGCATGTACAGGGACAAATGTCACTGGTTTTCCTTTTGGTGGAAGGATTAGATGTTTGGTGACAGGCTTGGCTGACTGGTTGATGGAGAGCTCGGCCTCCCATCGGAGGGAACGTATCCCAAGAGGGAAGAGCCCCCTCCCCAGAGCTCCTGTTAGCTTTAGGAACCTTAGAACCCGTAGAAATGGTAAGAGTCTCTCCACAGGTCTCTCCCCACCCCCACTCTTAACTGCCCCGAAGCTGTCCTGCTTCAGAGGAAAGAGTATAAAGTGGGGAGAGTTCCAGAAACAGGAATTGTTCCGAGAAAGCCCCTCGAACGAGGGCTCCTCTGAGGGGCACTTCCCGCCAGCCCCATGGGGCGCACCCAGTGACAGCACCAGCCCCTCCTGCACCTGTGTGGGAGGTCAGGTGAGCAGGGCCACTCCCCCCGCCATCGCCCATGAAGAGGATGCCTGTCTTCCCCCTCCTGCCCCTGCCCGGGGGGGGGCGGGAGGGGGGTGGCGGGTAGCTTGACACGGGTCCCCGGTGCGACCTGGAAACAGCTCAAGGAGCTGGTCCCCCTCGTTAAGAAGGGGCATTGCTCTCAACGGGGAATCAAACTAGAAAATTCTTCTTTGCCTTTTGGCCAAGGGTGTCCGTGCCCGTCTGCCACCTGTCTGCCACCCTTGGGGGGCGCCTCACACCCTGTGGGGACGACCAGGCCCGATCGAGGCAGAAGCCACCGCAGGCTCATCCACTGAGGCATTAACACAATTGCCTTACTCTGGTAGGACTCCGTGCCTGGCTTAAGGGCACAGTGCTTCTCGCTAGAGTAGAAGTCACCGCTCTCGCGTGGGGAGAATCAAGGGTGGGGGGTACAGCTAAGCAGACTCACCTAGATCTGCCTCGGGAAACCCTGTGTGTTCACTTTGCAATAATATTTCTAGAACACACTAACATTCTCCTGCGTCATAACCGCAGCTCATTCCTCACATAAACCACCAGTGACCTGTTATTTTAAAAATCCATGTAATCTACAGCCAATTTGAGACATCTCTTGAAATCCTTTACATCGATTTTATCTTTTGAGCAATGTAAGGCACCTTCTCTCCCCCCGCCATGAGCCCACCATTCTGCCACATACAATCGAACAAGGGGAACTCTCTGCAGACCATTTACCTTGGTCCCCCAGTCATGCTCTCTCAGCCACACCACTCAAAACTGGGTGATAGGCAGGTACTATCTTACAGCGAATAGAATCGGGAAGACACACATTAGGAACAGACACTCCTTAGGAAGATTTATAGCAACAGAGCCGAGAGTTAAGGTTAATGCACAGCTCACGTCCAGGCATGCTAAGTTAATACTAAGGCTTCTAAATCTCACCAACAGCAGGAAGAGTGTGAGACCGTGTAACCCCGAGTGGCCGCCTGGCCTGACTTTGGCCACTCTGTTGCTCATAAAACTAATTCCTGGAGCTCTGTAGGAAGCTGGGAGGGCCGGCAGAGAGAGCACAGTGACCCCCGCAGAACGGATGTGGTTTCTCCTGTAAGTCCCATACCGCAGCCATCACACCTGCTGCAAAAGAGAGAAACCTGTGCAGTAAAGCTGCGAACCTTCTCTATCCCACTGTAGACTTGAAAAGCCCCCTAGCATGTCGCACCGGGCCGGAAGGCGTGTCCTCCCCTTCCTCGGCCCAAAATCTTAGGGTCTGGTGCCTGCTACAATGTTAAGAAAATGTGGTCACATAATTGGGCGCAGGGCTCCAGAACTTTCCCCTAAACCTTTCTTCTTGTTCCTTTTTCTGATGTCCTTCCCCCGGAGTGCGGGGGGCTCCCGCTGCCGCCGCCTCCTCCCTCTGTCCCTGTGGTGGTCACCACCCATCCTCCGCACGCCCTCAGCCTCGGACCTCCGCCCCCACTTACCCTCCTCCAAGTCCGGTCAGGAGGGGACGCTTGCCGGAGGACTTGGGGGCTCTGCCAGTGGTACCATATGGACTCAACCGCCACTCTGTGTCCCCTGGCAGGTGCCCTGGCTCAAGCAGAGACGGAGCCCTGTGCCCTCTCATGCCCACAGCCAGCCCGGGCTGTGCACCGTGTACCAGGTAAGACGTGCGCTGACCCCGCCAGGCCCCTCCTGTCCTCCTCGGTCAGCGGGGGCCGCATCCGGGCACGCTCCTGCCCAAGGGCTGCAGCAGGTGCAGCGGGTC